GGGCAAAAAAGGCTCTTGGAAGGCTCACATGTCAAGTTTGGTTGCCAAGCAAGAGTTTGACTAGAGTGGAAACTGGGTTGCTTTGTAGCATTAAAACACATGTGTGTGGTTCCATGTTGGCAGGTTAAGTCAAGAGTGAAAGATTGTTTATTATCTTGTCTCTGCAGTAAACTGATGTGCAACATTTTCATTGTGACAGAAAGAAACAATGATGATAAAATCCTGACTGTGTTGAAATCAGTGGGGAAACTTCCTTGTGTAATCAGCTGCGGAGGGACTAGTCCCACTCCAGGTTCTCTGCCTCGGAGCCTCCTCTCTGGCTGCTGAGACAGAAAACTGTTATCATGACTTACCCTAAAGTATGCTGCCGCTTTCCCTAAAGCATCACCCCCTGCAAGAGCTTCTCACTTTCAGTGGCAGGAGAGGAAGCTTGTGGAGATGAGGTTTTTTTTAATTTACCTGACAGCCTAAGGTAGGCTGAGTACTTAACGATAGCTGAGAGAAATACCCCATCGCCCTCTTTCTTCCTGTACATGTGGTTATTTAATATGCAAATTAGAGAAAGGAATTAAATGAGCCTTTAAACCATAAAAAGTTGTGCATGGTACATTTATGGCAGATTCATGTGCAATTACCACATGTCTGCTTCCTGTACATTTTTCACATTTCATTTGCTTTCCCGGTATTTCTGTTCATGCCTCCTGGAAGGATGATCTTTTAAACATGCTTTTAATCTTATCAAGGGGAAAATACTGACTCAATTATCAAAGAGCAAACCAGTCATAGAAGAGTTTTCCACTCTCTTGTACTGCATGAATAAGGAGTTATCGAGTTCCCATTAAATATTACTCGTGAAGACATAGCCAAGAAAGTAAGAAACTTCCAATGTGCAAATTTAGAAACCTGCTCCTAATGCAATACTTTCTAACTTGTCTATTGTGTAAATAAATTGGGCTGTGTGTGGGGTTAGCTGAGCAGGCTTGGCCCTGATGCAAAGCACCTGGAGGAATCCCAGTTGGAGGGATTCCCAGGGACTTCAGAGATCTTCCTACGTCCTGTCACAGGTTTTGGCTGTATGAAACAGTTCCCTCCACCAGGAGCTACGTGTCCTTTGCTGTCAGCATCAGGGAACTTATTGGTGTGCCACAGTCTTCTGATCTGCCACCAACGCTTCCTGCCCTAAGTGTCTGTGTGGGCTGTAAGGGCCTGGAGCTCATCCCAGGCTGGAGTCAGGATGTTGGGGGCAGCCCTTTGAAAAGAGAGATGCTCTTGGTCCTTCAGATCAAGCAAGCTTATTCCTCTGTTCCTCCCACACCAGTATGGGCTGCGTGGTGGAGATAAGGTAGCACTGAGCCACTAGCTCAGGATCTCAGGGGAGCATGGCATGCCTCTAAACTTTTGGCTGCATCATAGATACCATTAGGACCAATTTGAGACACATTCCTTTTCTGGGAGAAGCTGTATAGTGAGATGTGGATTACATGTGACAACCAGTTTGCTTTCCATCAGCTCTTGCTCTGGATGTTCTCAAAAAGGCTCCTAAAGAATGTTGTTCATTTGTGATTTTAGATGTTCTAGAATCTTTGTAATGGTGTTTAAGCATTTACCTACATTTTCTAATAGCAGATTAACTTTTTGATGTAGTAACGAAGTGTGTACTTTTCTGAATTTTTGGTATCTTACATGTCTGGTGGAACATTTAAGAAGGTATCAGAATTACAGTGCTAGTAAGGTCTACATGGTGCTAGTAAGGTCTACCTTAGAGTTTAGTCATTACTAGAGGATATAGTTGTCTGTGTCTTGCTTGGACTTCTAAAACACACATATTGTGTGGTAAAAACTTCTAAGTAGCTAATGCAGTAAAATAACATTTTCCACTTTATGTATAAGTATCATACAAAATACAGCTTTAGCCATTGGCAAAACATCAAAGTATTAGGAGCAGCATTACCTTTTGAGTTTACTTTCAAAAACCTCTTTGAGACAAACTCTGTTATTTACTAGAGTTTTATATAGCCTTTATAACAACATATCTCAGTAGTATCTGACCATTTTTCCCTTGTGCATGGAAATCTTAAGCTCATGACATCAATTGTCAAAGTCACAAAGCAACAGTATATGTGGCCTGACAAGTGAACTCAGCTCTCCTGAAGTAGTCTGGTTGGCAGAACTCTTCCCATCTCCCTCTTCGAATTCAACAGAGCCTTAACTAAAGTGAAAGATTTAGAGTGTCACTAAAATTAAAAAAAAAACCCTATTTTAAATATTAATTATGTTTATTTATGATATTAGGTGATTATATAAGATATTTAGGTCAACATATGTCAGACCTGCTATTAAAGAGCCTGATGGTATCATCCTTAGAGATGTTTGGTTAAGGAGTAGGGTCTAAAAGGGCCAAAACCTGGCAGTTTGAAGCTGCTGCTCTCGGTGGGCTGCTGTGGAAGAAGAGACTGAGATGGATGCGGCAGATATTCCACAAAGACCCCAAAAATGTCCATGCAGTGAAGATGGACATATTGTGATCATAACCAGACAACTAGCACCATGGATTTGAGGGCAGGGCCAAACTCTGCTTCTTTCAGCAAAGAGCTGCCAGATTTAGGCTGGCTTCATAGCGCCAGGGAGATGTGAATTTGTTTGCTTTTATTGGGAAGGCAGTCTAGAAATTGAGTGTTTTTAAAGAATCTAATATAGCTCAAAACAAAAAAAAATGTTCTTTTATGTGCCAAAACACAATCGACAATTTCTGCACTGGCTAAATCATTAGTAAAATGACATTGTACTGACACAGTTAATCTTACTTTTTCTTTAAAATCCACTGTTGATTTTTTGCAAGTTACACTACAGATTGTTTTTAAAGGGGTTACTTACTCTTCATCATGTAAGTTAGTTTTTAAATCTGTTTAATCAAAATGCTAAGGGGGTCAATTAAGTAGATTCAATACAGAGGCTACTGTGATTCAGATGATTACCCTGGAACACATGCAGAACATAACAAGATTCACTGAACTTGTTTAAGCAGCTGACTTAGTAAAAACTAAAACTGATGAGTTTTATTCTTTGCTTTCGTATAGCAACTGGGATTGAAACATTTTAAATGGAAGACCGAAATTTTCCAGCTCCTTGTAAAGTTCAGTCAGCTGAACCTGACAACACCACAAGAAAAAAAAATAGATGTTCTTGATTATATACAAACTTGCAGATGAATTGTGCTCTCCCGCCCTGCCCCCTCTGCTTTTTATATCCCCCAGGCATTTAAAATATCTTGAAAGGCTGCTTCACCTTCTGGAAATCTGATAAAAGATTCTGTTGAGAGTTAATTTGGTTCATTTCATATTTCCAGTTCAGCATTTTTCTTCCATTGCTTTTTTATCACTAGGGATATTTGCATGACAATGGGATATTTCTTGCTTAAGAGTTCATCTGCTCCTGCTGCTAATTTCCTACCTGAAGTTGTAATCTTCTGTTTGTGACATCTTAATTATCTCAGCTGCAATTAATTGTGATGTCACAAATGGAGGATTATGACTTTGGGTTGGAAATGAGATTGAGAAATTGAAGTTTGAAGAAGCACAGAGGCTTTTCTTCTTGAAAAATAAAAGAGGAGACAAAATAATTTTGGTGAAACCAAGGTAGTCTTCCATCAGTTTCCTTCTCACAGTGGTGGAACAGACATTTCTAATTCTTGCTGTCATAGCCTCCCCTGTTGTACTGAGACACTGTGGGAGGGAAGAAGGAGCAAGGATGTCATTGTGGAGGAAGGAGAATCTTTCCCTGAACAGTCACCCTGTGCAGCAAGAGGAAATAAAAGTTGGTGGACCCCAGAGAGGACCAGGCTCTGCTTGCAGAGAGTAGAATGCAGGATTGGTACAGCTGCAGTTTGTTTAAAGGCCAGTTCATTTATTGCACTTCATATCTTGCAAGAAGAACATTTTTGGAGAGGTGGGGGGATTTCCAAAGACTTAAGGAGAAATTACATTCCGCATTCTGAAAACATACAAAGTGAAAGCTTTGTGCTATCCTAGTCCATCATGGCTTTAATTTATTCTAAGAACTTGTTATCTTTCTCTTCTTGGTATGTCACCTTATCCTTTTGTATCTTTCTGCTTTTCTTCTGGAAACGTGTTGTTTCCACAGAGATGGCAGGTGGCTGGGTGGCCTGCTTTTGTTTTTGTGAGTACATTACTAAAATTGTTTATATACTTATGCCAGGATTTACAAAATGGGAGTGCTTATCTAGAGCTACTATCACTTCACACCAAAGTGTTTACACAGATTATGCATAAACACTGGGACCAAATCATGAATGAAAGAGGAAAAACCCCAAAGTTAATGAAAAATTAAGTGTCTTATTTTAACACCTTTATTGACATTAGGGAAAGGTCAAAGATTGCAAAGTAGAGGGATGAAAGTGGAGAACAAAACAAAATTAGCTATTTGGTTTTAGGAAAGTACAGTGTCCTTCAGAATAGTGTGCACTCATCCTCAGGTGTAAATGGAAGCGACCCTCAGTGGAAACAGGCCAGTCTGCGCCTGCTGGGGTCCAGGGTTATCTTTATCTGTGTATCAAATCTGTTTTAACAGTTGAACATATACCAGCTACTGCACCATAGCGAAATGGACCATTTCCTGTCATCTTTTGGAAAATGTTGTAAAACCAGGTATTTGACGATCTGATTAACACAAAAACTGATAAAGAAAATAAGCTGTTAAGATTTTGCACTCAAACACATTGCTGTAAGTCTGCAAAAGCTCTGCAGGCAACAAAAGACCCACTGTGATAATCTGACAACAGAACCTGGACCCTCCACGTTGTGATGCAAAGCTCATTTGCAGCACCAAGTTTACCTTGTAGGCAGGTTGGTTTGAAGTTAAATTAGGATGCCTTGAGGGAGGCATAATACTACAAAGTGGAAAAAGAGTGGGGGGAAAAAAGCAATATGCTGAGAAATAGTTACATCTGCCAACACTTTTTTTTCTTTTCTTCTTTTTCAAAGGCAAAAGCCGTTATGGCAAAAGTGGGTTACCCTCAGTTTATAATGAATGACACATATATTAATGAAGACATCAAAACAGTAAGTGTTATACTTGCAGCTTTCTTCTCTTACATATTGCAGCCATTCTTTCCTTTGTTTCACTGCTGTCTAAAGTCAAAGCTCTTCTTTTGTTTGGCACACATCTGGAGTTCTGCTTGCCTGGTTATTTTTAGACTTTGAATTAGTATGCTGGCTCTCATGTCTAAATTGTCAATGCTGGTGTGTCTAAGTGAGATGACCATGAGGCCTGCTGGGACTAAAACACTCCTGGGTGCAAAGAACCTTCCTGCTATTAAGCATTTTAAAGGTTAAACATACACTGGAATAAATTTTGCATTTAGTTAAAAAATGGAACAAAACAAAAGCATTTCTCCTCAAAGTAAGAGTCTTCAAAAGTACTAATGCATTTTTCCTCAGCATTTCACAATTTATTATGCCCTATAATATGCCCCCTCTCCCCATCTTTCCAGGCTTTGAATTTTATTTACAATTGTTGCTTATAATTGTGCCTAGAGGTCCTAGCCTCTAGGCTGTAATGTAAAGACCTCCCATGCTGGCTGCAAGACAAGAATACTCTGGGTGGGCTCCTTCCTGACCCAGTATCTGGCAGGAAGGCAGATGATGAAGAATAATATATTTTACCTTTTTCCAAAGGGATAATTGTGGCATGTATGTGATGAATTATATTACTGAAAGTCACAGGCAAAGCAGAATCACAAATTCAGTCCTGAACCAGTAAAATACAACAGTGATAGTCATCTTTGCCAGAGAACGTGAACAAACTCTAAAGAGAAGCATAATTTATGGAGAAAATTTTGAAGAACCAGTTCCACCAGCCTAGTTCTTGTTCCTGGAAAGAATAGGGTGAGATGGTCCAGTGAAAATAGTGTAATGAGACAGAAAGTGTGACCAACTTTATCACTCAGCATAAGAAATTATTTGCCCAGGTAAGTGGTAATATCTATTGAAAACCACTTGTTAATCACAATTGCAAAACTGTAGTTTAAATCTGAAGTATAACTTCCTTTACAAGTCTAGGACTGCTTGAAACTGGTGACAGGGATATGAGCTGAATTCATAAAATATTAACATCCCTTTTTCTTGCATGGTTAGCTGTGTGGGTGTTATTAGATTTGTAGGCTTATGGAAACATGGAGCACTATGTCTCTAAGCATTTAATGTGAAAAACATTGACAGAACAGAAAAACAGTGGCAGAACCCTCAGAGGGCACAGAGTACAAAGTATTTGTAATAAAATGCAACACAAACTGAAAAAAGGGGCTTTGTTGCATTTTTTGAAAGTGATTTTAAAATGCACTTTTATGGAAAAGAGGTTGCCTGGGTAATAGCCTTAGAAACACGCAATCTGCAATTCATCATTGGGTACTTCTGATTTCCTCAGCTGTTCTCTGTGCAGGGAAGAGCTTTTCTGATGTTCTAGTCCCTTGGTTTTTTTAACTAAGCTCACAAAATATTTATTCTTCCTACCAAGTGTGAAAATTTGGTTTGTTTTGATAATGGCTACAGAATTAGATTATTATCTTATTTAAAATAAAAGTTCTGATTGTATTATGTCAGCTTTTGTTTCCTTGGACATGCTTTAATAATGTCTGTGCTTTATTTATACAGCTGAAGTTTACAGAAAATGACTATTTTGGCAATGTGTTGCAAACTCGCAAATACGAAGCCCAATCTGATTTCTACTGGCTTAGAAAAGAAGTTCCAAAAACAGAGTGAGTAGGCAAAAGCAAATTTACATAATCTTCTAACAATATTTTAATTTTTTATTTAATTTATACATTTTATGTTTTAATCAAATGATATACACAAAAATATATTATAATACCAAAAGCCTACAGGCAAGCCCCCCAGTTATTCCGAAACTACTGTTGGTGTTTTTTTAAGTAAATTTTGGGCATCCCTGTTCTGGTGCACAGTAGTCATATACTTGCAGCTTAAACTCAATTTAATGAAAAAAAAAAGGGGATATTGAATCTCAATTAAAAATGGATTATGTCTCTTGGTCACAGTTAGAATTTGGAGTGGTACAGCAGGTATTTATGAAATATTTTTTTTTAAGAATGGAACCATTAGTAAGAGGTAATATTATTAGTAACAGCTATCTGCATTGTTAGTTTTCTGCTGTTGATAGAAATGATATGGAATAAAACATAATTTAATTTACATACATTACTTTTATTTGTAAACCTGAGAGTGCAGATTGTGTCACACACTGTCATCAAATACATGAGAAAATCAATCTATTTTCTTACTGGTGGGTAATCAAATCCTCAAAATGCAAATTAAAACTTAAACAGAACTTAATTATTCTAATCATGCTATTTAAAAATTACTCCTTCTACAGAGAGACTTCGAAATTGGTGCTGCTGCTAAGCTCCTGTGGTGGTATTTCCTTAGGGCTCCAGAAATCCCTACTCAAACTGAACCATACCTTGTTTCAGGGGTGGCTCTGTGTTGTTCATGAGGCAAGTAGAGGATGTCAGCAGGACAGGCACAAGCTGTTTCTGGTTAGAGTGTTGTAATTTGGCCCCATAATTTTGAGGGGGTTTTTACAGCTTAATGTTAATTACAAATTTTACCTTCTAATTGCACCTTTCTCTGGCATTGCAATGTTTAATCCCAGGGGGTGTTTTTATTGGTTTTCCTGCAGCTCTGAATGCCACAGCTAGATCATGACATCTTCATCTTCAGACCAACAGTTTCCATGAGTGCAGTGAAATAACACTTGCCTCTCTATAGCAATGCTGATCAGAAGCCCCCTCCTTGTGAACAGCATTGGGGCAGCCCTAACACAGATCACACAGATTCTTGGCACAGTGGGAAATCTCCCTGTGCAAGGAAATTAATTGGCAGGTAATCCCTGACTCTACGCCTCAAGGATTCTAATCCTTGCATGAGTATTCTTAAAAAATGAAGGCTTTACCTGATTGCCCACTACAAGATTGAACACTTTCTCATGCTTGTCTTTACCGTTTTATTTCAAGGACAACTTAACAGCAGCTCCCTTATTACTTTTTCCTTGCTTTTCTTGTCATCCCACAGGGCACACTCTGGCCTGGGGGATCCCAGTCTGATTTTTAGTCTCTTTCCTTAGTCAGCACAGCTATATGCTCTGCCTTCTGCGAGGCTGGGAGTAACCT